TATAGAAAATATGTTTGGATTGTTTACAAATTTGTTTTATTTGTTTTTCTTTTTTCATTTATATCTTTATTCAACTGATTACGTTTTTATATCCAATTTTATATCCAATTTATTGTTAGTTGAAAATATAGATTAAAACGTTTCAAATTACGTAATTGTGGTTGATGTTTATCTCTCACATTATTTCTCTCTTTAGTATATTATATATTTCTTGTTTGTTTAAGCATGTTTATGTTTGAATGTACACTATTTGAATTTATATGTATGAAAAATATTTTTAACTGTTATTCTTCAGGCAAAGAATTAATGGAACTACCAATATTTGTTAAGACAATTCAGAAATGTGATGCAGCACTTAAACCACACGGTATATGTGTTACGGATATTTTATTCAACGAAACAGAAAGTACTTACACTGATATTATAAAATCATTCGTAGCAATCATTGGTATTCAGGTAAGTAAAAAAATTAATTTTACATATTTATGTTATTTATGTCTTACATCTGTTGAATTGTGAAGATTACGTGACAATTAAGTTTAAATTTTGAATTTAAAATTTATTTAATTTATATTTTAATACTTTTGCACTTAGCTGGTTTCAATCGCATTCCGATGTTGGTATAATATTTTGAGAAGATATCTATATTAGAATATGTTTATATATATGTATATATATGTAAATATGTATTTCCACATTGTACATCATGGTTATTTCTATATAGATTGCAATAGTGGATCTCTTATTACATATTGGAATTGTGCCCGATTACGTAATCGGTGAGTCGATTGGTGAACTTCTGTGCGGATATGCGAATGAACTTTTTACTGTTGAAGAAACAATTTTAATAGCGTATTATATGGGTGTTACATTTAAAGAAACAAAAGTAGAACAGGTAAGAAAGTATAAGAGTATTTTTCTCTCTGTACATACTGTGTTATTTTATTATTACTGTTTTTTTTTTTTTTCAGTGGAACTATAGCTCTGCTGCTTGTAATCAATATTTAAAACACATTAGATCAAAGCACCTAGTAAACTATCTGAATCAAATAGTACCATGTAAATCTTTAAAAAGCTATAATAAGAAATGGTTAAATATGGTTTTGCCTCGTAATCAAACATACAACTCACTTACGCAGTTATCTACTGCTGAATATTATGCATGCAATGTAGTAAATTCAACACCACTCGAGAAACTTTTACCTTTGATACCAAAAGATGTGATAGTTATTGAAATAGTGTCGTATAATAATTGGCAGTTTTTTGTGAATAACTTTTTGGATTCAAGCTATATTTCATTATTTAAACACGGTCACCGGAACGATATAAATAGTATTTTAGAGGAAATTGGAAATCTTTATAATATTGGATTTCAGCCGCAAATTGCAAACTTATATCCATCAATACAGTTTCCAGTCAGTCGTGGAACACCAATGATATCTCCTCTAATAAAGTATGTTTCTTTTTGAATGAGAAGTTTTAGAAAAAAATTTATTGTACAATAGTATAGTTTGTATTTTATACTGCTATTATAGGTGGGATCATTCTGAAACCTGGCACAGTGTAACGTTTTACCATCAGAAGAAACCTGACGTTAGAGAACAAACTGAAATCATTACAATCACGGATATACGTTTCGATTATATGGTTGAACATGTAATTGACGGAAGAATTCTGTTACCGGCCTCAGGTTATCTATTTTTTATTTGGAAACTGATCGCGTCGGTGTTATGCTGTTATTATCAAAAAATACCGATTATATTCGAAGACGTTAACTTTCTTCGTGCTACTCACTTATCAAAAGAAACTACAGTTAAACTGAAGTTTTCAATACAAAAATGTAAGTGTATTCCTCTCTCTTTCTCTCTCTCTTTTTCTCTCACACACACATACATACACGCGAATCTTTTTATAAATAACAAATTTATATAATTTGTATTTAGTTTATGCATTTATTTTTTAATTATGTAGACAGTAATAAATTCGAGATTACTGAAGAAGATACTGTTATTGTTACTGGAAAAGCATGGATTCCAGATGATATTGCAAATCATAAACTACTCACTCATATTTTAAATAAACCTGTACACGATGTCAACGAATATATGAGTACCAAGGATATTTACAAAGAATTGCGACTTCGTGGTTACCAATATTCCGGTGTATTTCAAGGCCTGGAAAGTGCATCAATTACAGCAAAAGTAGGACATATAAAGTGGTCAAAAAATTGGGTAGCGTTTATCGACAACATGCTGCAAATGAAGATTCTCTCAATAGATTCGAGACATCTTTTTGTACCAATAAGAATTCGTAAAGTAGTGATCGATCCTAAATTTCACAGTGAACAAATACAAAATTCACCCGGCGAAAAAGCAAGTAAGTATGCACTATTATAAAATAAACTCTATATATCATATTTTATGATAAATCTTATCTATGCGATAAAAATCAAGTAAAAAATATAAAGAAAAGCAGAAGTTTTCTGCAATTAATAATCTTAATATTAACATAAACGTGTAAATGTTTTCATGACTATAGATTTAAATTATGAGTGATAGAGTTGTTAACAGCACTTATTGTTAGCACCAGACATTTAAAAGTAGTATAGTAATTGCAAAACATTCTACTAGAATCTTGCGTTTTTGTGAAATAGGTATCGAAATCCTCTCTTTCGTCTTCACCACATTATATCTTGCTATTCTATTCTTTGTAAAAGTATAGTTCTTCGTTTTCTTCTAAGTTTCTCTCCTGAATAAATACAACAATTTATTTCAGAATTTCCTGTGCGCATTTATGATTCTCTAGATGTTGTAATATCTGGTGGGATAGAAATTCATGGCGCTATGGCCACAAATATAGCNCGTCGAAAAGTTGCTCAACCTATTCACGAAGAATATAATTTTATTGCTCATTGTGATCGTGCCATGATGTCTCTAACAGAAATTATACAAATGTCAGTGCATATTTCTCTGGAATGTAATTTAGTACTACAGGCAAACTTTATTGAATTAATTGAAGATGTTGACACAGTTACAGAGCAAGATCTACTCTCCACAATTCTTTACGATATTTTAAATAATTTGCCAGTAATTCGACCAAATGTTACATTGGTTGCCACAGCTAATCGTTTCGAAAATAATGAGTTATCTCCAGATATCAAGCAGTCCGAAAATGTGACAAAAGACGAAGATTTCCTAATGATTATTGTTTTCAAACTTTTAACAAAAACCAAAAGTGAATTAATCGATACATTAATGTCTACATTAAAGGAAGGTAGCTTTGTGCTGTCAAGAGAAAATCTCACTGAGTCCTACAACTATACATTATTACAACAATATAATTTGAATATAGTTTTAGAAAAACGTACAGAAAAAGAGGCATTTGTGCTTTTAAGAAAAACACAAAGCATCGTACCGCAAGAAATTATATATATAAATAATTNTGACTTTTTGTGGATTAACAAGTTGAAGTCTGCATTAAACATGGATAACAAGTTAAACGCATCCAGAAGAACAATATTAGTTGCGGACGATTTTGAATGCGGCATATTAGGTTTTATCAATTGTTTACGAAAGGAGTTAAACAAAACAAGGGACANGATTAGATGTGTATTTATCCAAGACGAAAATGCGCCAAAATTTTCTTTACAAGACTCTGTTTACATAAACCAATTACAATTGGACTTGCCTGTTAATATTTTACGTCCGAACAAAGTTTGGGGATCGTATAGACATCTTCCGTTACCACACCTAGAACCAAAGTTTGTACATCATGGTTATGTCGTTCAAAGTGTATGTTAATAACATAAATTTTCTAAATTAATTTATGATGTTTTACTATTGTGTATTTTTTATTACAACAGTATGTTGATATTTGTTGTAGGCGCGAGGTGATTTGAGCAAGTTGCGTTGGATTGAAGGTCCGATATCTCCTGATTACAAACAAGAAAATCTTGTACGTGTAGTATACGCATCACTCAATTTCAAGGATATTATGATTGCTACTAGTAGAATTTCTATGGATGTTTTTGGAAAAAAAGCGGGAGAAGCCGATTCTTTACTGGGTTGTGAATTTGTCGGGTTCAATGCGGCTGATAAAAGAATAATGGGAGTATGTACTCTAAGGTATGGAGAACACAAATTTATTAGTTGTTACAATTTATATATAAAACAGTTATCTCCGATAATTCAATTCTTCAGGATTAAGCTGATCGATGTAATTTCCAATTCTCCTCTGTTTCTTTCTAAGTTTTGGCAATTTTGCTAGTAAGAACAAAAAATCTATTTAAATATCATACCCAGCAAACATTTTGGTTGCGAGATGTAGCAGTTTTGTCGCCAACCGCCGGCGAAATTAGTAGATCAAATCCATATTTATCTGTGTCCTCATTAGGATATGGTTTGGCGACCATATCTGTCAAACATGTGAGATGTCAAAATGAGACCAAAATCATAACAAGTCTGCCACTAGCAAAGCAAAGCCAAAGTGACGCACCAAATCCAGAACAGATTTGGTGATCGTTTGTTGGCGCCAAAATCGCGCCAAATACACATTATATCTGGTACCAGCACTGTTAACAAAACAGTAGCAAGTACAGACCAAATTTGTCGTCAGAAACGTCGACAGATTGCTACCAAACGCAGATCAGATTTGTCCCCTAGAATCCAAGTGGAATTACTACAAAAAAAAAAAAAGAAAATCAGTGGTATATCGCTTTATCGGAAAGGAATTAATTCAAGATTTCATTCGAATTAATTTCTAGAAGCCTGATTCAGCTCGTTGATCAACTGATGAACTCCATTGAAAAAGACCGAATCTGAAAAAATCGTAAATGTGATAGCGGGATTTGAATTCGAGACCTCCATATTCGCAGCCCCTGCACTCAGTCCGCGAGACCACTTGTGTTCCTTACTAACATATAATTATTTTTATTTATTTATTCTCAAGTTATCCTACATTTCATTTATTATTTATTTCAATTATTATTTTACTAAAAATGTTGCAATGCAATGTACCTGCAACATAAAATAAAAATACTTTTCTTATTATTCTTAAATATAATTTAAAGTACATTTTTACAACGCGAATAAATGTTTTGTTAATATATGCTGATACTTGAATAAACAAAGTGTTTTTTAATGGATTTTTGGTCACTGAAAACGAATCCGGCGGCGAAATCGACCTACCACCTCAAATTTCTGAGAAAATTGAAGTTAAATGTATAACATACTGTCTATTAGCGTGAGAAAGAGCATATCAGTGTATCTCATTCACACTAGTGGACATTGTGTTACACAGTGTCGACCGTACGTAGCTGGAAAGCACCTATTGTTTCATATTACTCAACAAATACGAGAATAATACATTATATTTATGATTGCTTCATTGCCGAATGCGTATAAACAGAAGTATTAAAATCTTACAGTTGAACTTTACCGGTTCCAGCATAAGTTACACAGTTATTGCTTCCTAAACAAGGTCTGACTGTAAAAGACTGTTCAATGTTTGTTAACAATTTGTTATCAACACAGGCGACAGATATGATCGCAGATAATCGCCATTTTGTTGTCTAGATGTCAAACAGACAGTTTAGTAGTCTTGCGTGGAAACAGTCCGCACATATGCACGAACAGATCTGCTTGGCGTTTGGTGGCAATCTGTCGTCAATGCGTTCAACAGATCGACCCGACTGCAGTCAACGTTTTGTCATAAACAGATGCTCATACAGTTTTGCGGACTGTTTGGTCACAGTATTGCTAAAGCAGATCTGCTTGCTATCGACCATTTATTTGTTATCAATTTCACTAACGTATATGGAATCATTTTGGCCGCAATAATCTCATGTATGTGCCAACAGAGTTGTTGCGTTTTTTGTCTTTATGTGCTAACAGTTTTGGCAGTACCAAAGCATGTTTCCGTACTGTAGCGTTTCTGCACACAGTTTTTGTTGCCAAGGTCTGCGCAGTCAAAAATTGTTTGCTGGATACAGTTATGTGAGGCACTTTCTATAAATGCGTATGTGCGTGCAACATTTTTTATCTATGTGTATGGTTACAAAAAATTTTAAGGATTTTTACAGAACAAGTCAATGCGTTACGTATGGCTAAAAGCTACGCCAACTAATATTTTGTTATTACTTTTCTATAACAGTAAAATGTTACCGCATTGTTTCTTGTCACGCATAACGCATTGATTGTTCTGCCTATCCGGATGCCAAAGTTTACTGTTAAAAAAATAGAAAAATAATATTTATATATGTGTATTTTAAAAACTATTACACCCATTTTTAGAGGAATCACAAATCTTATTGTGGCTGATCCACATCTTTGTTGGATCATTCCTGACAAATGGACGTTTGAGGATGCCGCAACTGTCCCAGTTGCTTATTGTACGAGTTGTTATGCTCTGTACACATGTGGAAAATTAAAGAAAAAAGATAAAATTCTTATCCATTGCGGCGCTGGTGCCGTTGGACAATCTGCAATTTATCTCGCGCTTTTTGAAGGATGTGAGATATTTACAACTGTAGGGACACCCGAGAAACGAAACTTTATAAGAGAAAAGTTTCCTTCTATTCCCGAAGATCATATAGGAAATTCTCGAGACACCAGCTTTGAACAAATGATTAGTCAACAAACAAGAGGTCGTGGTGTGGACATCGTGCTAAATTCTTTAGCAGAAGACAAACTGCAAGCATCTATTCGATGTTTGGCAAGAGGTGGTCGATTTTTAGAAATTGGAAAGTATGATTTAATATCTAACAATACCGTAAATTTAAAAGAATTTTCAAAAGGCATTAGTTTTTATGGAGTTATGTTAGATAGAATATTTAGTAGTACTGATATAAAAAGAAAAATACATATTTATAACTTGTTAAACAATATGATTCAGCGTGGAGCGGTCGTACCACTTGTAAGAAAAGTTTTTGAACAACATGAGATAGAAACCGCTTTTAAACATATGGCAGCTGCAAAACATATAGGAAAGGTAAGTTAGAGTAAACCTGAAATTACAATTTTTATAGAAAATGTAATACCGTGTACAGCAACTAAAGGCGGTCACGTTATTTGTGATCGAGATTGTACATTTCATATATATAGTTCTTAAAAAAAATAATCATGTAGAATTAACATATAAACATTCTAGTACACTTATAACTACTTACACAGTGTGGTTTTTTCCGACAAATTTCAAATAAAAAAGTTTATGTAAAAAAATCTTAGCAAAATGTTACTTAATTCTTAAGATTGCAGTAGTATTGAATATATTTTGCGGCTTTGACAGATTATGCAGTTCCTGCTGATAATCTGCTATCGACAGTTCGATAATGATATAAATGCTATTTGTTGACAATAACTTTAAACCTGATTAGTTTACAAACGTCTTTCGATGTTTTGCAATATTCTTGTAATAATTTTGCGATAATTTTGTAATCGACAATATCGTATAATCAACTCTTTACAAATTGGTATCAATTTATTTATAGTTATGGATTTAAGCAAAGGACAAATTTAAATCAATTACCGAATAAAAATGTAAAAATATAAAAGCAACAAATAGTTTTGGGTCATTTGTCGGAAATATAGTTTATTAAATCAAATATTTTATATTATTTTTTTTCTTTTAATATAAAGAACAGGTAACAGAAATATAATTTTAATAAAATTTTTCAAATTTTATTTTTACTTTTAGGTAATCATAAAAATACGTACAGAGGAAGAAGTTGCGGACGCTCCTATTCTCGCGTATCCTCAATATTTATGTAATGAGCATAAATCTTATATTATTTTGGGTGGTTTAGGCGGTTTCGGCCTAGAGTTAACCAACTGGTTGATTGTTCGTGGAGCTCAAAAAATTATACTCATTTCACGAAATGGTATAAAGAACGGTTATCAACAGTCAAGAATAGAGTTATGGAAATCGTATGGAGTAAATGTGCAAA